TGGTCATCTTTGGGTGGGGGGGAAACTGAAACTGGATGTAACCTTTTGGCTTAGAGAATCGCTATCCTCCGAGTCTGGGAGGGCTGTGGTGCTGCTATAGCTCATACTTCAGCCAGGGTTTAGCTTATCCACAAGAATCTGGATTTTTCTTTGTGGATCAGGATCACCTCCTAAAGTACTTTTCTACTTGCGGTGCATATTGCTGAACTTTGAAAACACAACGTGATCTTTTTATCCTTCTGGCATCACATCATTTCAGGCATGGTTTCTTAGACCACTGGAAGCTAGGTGAATTATTTGCCGTTTAAAGGACAATTCTACAAGAACATCCCCCAGCCCTCTATTTGTTACCTTCTGCTGAGAGAAATAGCGAAGAGACAAGATAGGCCAGAGCTGGAAGAAGTCTAAGAGACAGTAACCGGAGCAGTCGGTCGTTAGGTGCTAACACGGCTTCAGCCAGGGAAATCGAGGCAGGAGAAGCCGTAGCAGATCCAGCACACATCTTTGTCTTGCTCTTGAGCTGGATGTCATTTCTCGTTAGGACACGGGGCGGGTGCGGGAGCTGTTACACAATTGGAGCTGTGTTCGTCCCGAGAGGCTGTTTCTCTTCCTAACAAGTACAGGGTTCGAGTGAAATACTACTTGACCTTTCTCGGAAGATTCATCTCCGCTCAGTGACCTAGATTTTGTAGATTTGTACGGATTCACAGCAAAAGTTGTCTTAAATTGCAGTAAAACACTCTTTGCCATGGGCTGCTGGCACTAAAAATATAAAAAAGGTCTTTTTTCATGGGTAACCTTACATACACAGGGTCACAGCTCTTTTGTATGTGTATGAGAAACTGGACCAGCTTGATGAAATCAAAGTGAAGTGCAGGGACTTTCCCTTAGGAAAGGCTTTACCTTTCCTAAGCCAGACCTGGAGAAAGGGAGAGGTGACACAGGAAAAGAGAGGACATCTAAAAAGGGCTCTCATTTATGCCATGAATGAGAAAAAGATCAAAACTGGATCCTATACTACCCGTCTGTATGGGAAAAAACTTCATCAGGGACCATAAAGAGTCTTGGACTTTAAGGAAAAAAACATTGACTTTTCTCCGTTCCCTTCTTGTCGCTCCATAATTAGGAATCGGAGGAGAAAGCTCCTATTGTTCATTTTAGAAACAGACAGCAGCAGAAACAGAGAGAACTGCTGAGCCCTCGCTTTTAGAGGCTGCTCAATTACTCCTTTCTATTCTTGAATTTCTTACAGCTATCATCAGATTTGGAACACTTTATGGTAAAGACTTCACAATTTCCTTCTGTTGTTAAAAACTGGGAGAGGGCGAGAAGAAAAAAAAAAAAATCTTTGAAAGTGTATTTGGCTAATCATCAAAATTCATCAAAAATTAATCAAATTTCTCCAAGCCTAATTATTTTGTAGACACACCCAAGGGAAAGCTGTTGCTACAGCCTAACACCACATTAAAAGCACCTTTAAATAATTAAAGAGCAGTATGGATGTGTATTGTTTCCTGTATTTTACAAAAAAACCCATTCAACTGCTCCCTGAACTGCTGCGCTACTCAGAG